TGCCATGCAAATTGAATAACTTATCAAAGATATAATACTATATTCATATTCTAACGAGCAATTGCTATTTCTACCATGAAGACGAACAAAAAGTTGGATTGTGGACTAGTGACATTATTGTCATCACTAGTTTCTACTTGTTCAACCGTATTATCATACTATAAATTGAAAGTTAGACTCTTGCAACCTTTGATTGAGCATAATATAATGAAAAAGTTTCATCAAGTGGGGAAGCATATTTTTTAACTTTGTAATGTAATGCTACTCGGAGTCCGGACTTCTTGCCTTCGCCTAGTTTTGGTTCTCTTTAGTCTCTACTCGGCTTGTCATTTATGTCCTAAAAGAAGTGAAAGTGGCAAATGTTAGCATATTGAAATTCTATAATGTCCGAGAAGAAGTGAAAGATTGTTGGACAAACATCTTTATGCTTATGCAGATGAAGACATGAAGTAATGGAACCCTTGTTCATTTGGGTTTCTATGTCCAAGAAACCGAAATGCGGGAGACTAGGAGGTCTGGAGAGCTAGCGAGTATGAATATGATATTGCTTTTGAATTGCAAACTTCAACACCCATTTGATTCTCTTATAATTTGTTACATATTCTTGCACGACATAAGAAATTATCACAATTTGATTAACCGAAAATCAAACCATATTACGTTTAACCGAACCGTTTAATTGAATGATCACCCCTAGTTTTTTTTAACATTAAAATTTAAAAAAATTGGGAAAAGTCAAAATTTATATGGTGATTTCAAAATTTTTTAAGGAGCTCTAAATATATCTTACTCGAATAATTTGAGGATATTTATGTTATCGTTATTTTTGGAAAAAAACTAAAAAATGGATTAAATTTTAAAAAAATTCAGAAGAAGTCAAAATCAAAATTAAAAATTAAAAAACTAATTTTTAAATAGATTAAAATTCATTAAAGATTTGATCGATTAAGCCCAATAATTTTTACACATATGTATCTCTATTTTAACAATGTATTCTTGTTTTTATTTTATTTTATTTTATTTATTATAGGTATAAGAAAAGCTTGCTTGAGGGGGCAAAAAGTAGAAGAATAAAAGAACAGATAACAGGATGAAGCTAATGCATGTTGCGAAGAGGGTGTAGCTGAAATAATGGACAACTCGAGAAAGCGAAATAGAGTTGCAGAAATCCATTAGTTTATTCAGTTGTAATTCTTTTGAAAACTCCCAATTTAGCCCCTATGTTTATGTGATGAAAGGGGAAAGAACTTTATATATATATATATATATATATCAAATTTACCATATATTCGTCATATTTTGTCAATTCAATAAACTGAAAACAACAAAGTATTTCCTTATAGGGTAAATTCGTCACAATATTATTATAACTGTCTAATTGAGTCAAATTGACTAAATGGGACGAGTATAGGATAAATTCAACAAAATTTGTGTCATAGGGGTGTGTTTGTTGAATTGACACAAACACAAGGGGTAAATTAAGAGGAATTTCTCAACTCTTTTATCGATTTTTTGTGATTGTTCTGTGATAGTTTAAGAGAATGAGGAATCAAATCAAAAAATTACCGTTAATAAAATTGAACTATTTCATTGTAGAAATCTAATAAATCAAAACTGACATATTCTGTCTTTCAAAAAATATTTCTTTTTCCAAATTTCCCCTAATCTCTTGCTAGAATCAACCCCATTTATTTATCATTAATGCTGCTAATTATTTACATAAATTTGAAAATTTTGTTAGAGCTAGTCACATTCACAATAGTCAAATCATAGCTTTAAGAGTTGCGTGTCTTAATTATGCAATAAAATAGATCAATCAACCCTTATGGATACAGCAAGAACTATAATAATAGAGGTTTTAATGAGCTGGCAAGAATTTCAAAAATTAAGTCGATAATAGATGCCTGGAGTACTAAAAATCGCTCTTTTCAGCTTTTCGACTTGATTTTCTGAACTTCATGGATCTAAAAGCATTTCCATTTTTGGGCCAAGCTCTTCTAGTTCATCAAGACTAGTAAAATTTCCAAGAAATTTTGGAAACCAAAATATATATAAACGAAAATTTCCATACCGGGAGCACATGACACATCATTTTTATTTTTAAACAACGTTAGTAATACTAATTGACAAAAAGATATAATAATAAAAAAATATAATGTGTAAGATTGATATTAAAAACAAATAATAGAATTTATTTTTTCAGATTAAAACAAAGAATTCATAGATGTACATAAATTTAATATATGAGATTGATTGGTCTTATGGCATGAGAAGAAATAAGTCGAGTCCTTATGGCATGACCATACAACTAATCAACCTCACAAATATGATGGGTGCATTAGACAACCTAAATGACATGACCATCCACCCGTAGATACTATCTTGAGTTTTAAAAATAGTCTTCCCCTCATCAATCATCTTGTTCTAATATGATGATATCTACTCCTAAATTCAATGTTTTAGAACCATACAACTAATCAAACAAATCATCAAGTCTTAAAATTAAGAATTGATACTTGATTGTAATTTTGTTGTTGTCTTACTATTAATGCACATCCTTCGTGTCCCATCCTTTTTTGGCACCAATAAAGATAGAATGGCATAAGGAGTCACACTCTATTTTACTAACCCTTTCTCCATCAATCCAGCCACTTGTCTTTGTAACTCCTCATGCTCCATGGACTTATTCTATAGGCTGATCTATATAGAATCACTAACTCCAAGATGAAGTCAATAGCCTGCTGAATATTTCATGTGGTTACCCTCTACGAATCTCATCTGGTATAACATCCTCAAATTACCAAAGCAATGGCATCACCCCTTCAAGTATCTCACTATCATCCTTATTTTCTTCTAACACCCTAAGTCCACAAACAGTCTTAGACTCCTTGTAGTATCTCATAAACATAGATGTGGAAACCCCCTCCTCTTAATTTTTCTCTGTACTAGCTAAACATTCCTTCTTCAATGGCATTATTATAATTTTCTCTCTATTTAGTGCAAACGAATATGTATTTTTGAATCCATCATGCATCACGCGTTTTTCATACTATCACAAACTATCCAACAAGTATGACATACATCTATATGAACGGCATCACATTACACCTTATCCTCGTACTTCTTTCCAGTAGAAAATTATACAAGGTACCTCGTGGATACCCCATGTTAATTCTTTTTTTGTAGCCAATTCAACTTACATAGATTAGGATGATCAACAAGCAGCAAACTCAACTCCTTCACCACCTTCATGGCTACCACATGCTTATAGCTGCCCTCATTAATGATTAATTTATAAACTTCACCCTAGAATGTCCAAGAAATGTGAAAAATTTTATGCCTCAACTAATCCTTCTCTTGAACCAAATCTATGTTAAGTGCTCCTTAGATCACCAACAACTCCCCATCATCAGCAAAAACCTCTTCTTCTCTCTCGACCTCATCCCCTTCTACCTCATCCTATTCCTCAACATATTTAGCCTCTTTCACAAGATTAATCACCCTTTGATTTGGATAGTCAGAAGAAATGAGACCGAAAACATGACAATTAAAACACTTTTAAAAATTATTGTTAGACCCAGTTGTGTTTGATCTGTTAACACCACCCAAGCTTTCTTTTTCTCCTGGATGAACCATACTAGGACAAGGTTTAGGAACCGTAATCAAAATCTTGGCATTAGTCTCCTTGGATGAGATTGTTGCAGTACTCCATCTCGAAGCTTTTTGATAGCATTCCACCTTTAAGAACAAATTAGCAATATCTTATAAGGTTTAATACTATGCAACTGTACTACAATAGCAATCTAGATTTTCACTCATAAAAATCTAGTAATGATATGCTCCTCAAGTTTATTAACTTCACACTTAAACATTGATTGTTCAAATACAACAACGCAAGCCTCAAAACTCAAATCTCTTTATTTTAATATGTAAAATTGTAGAAAAATATCTTGTCTATGGTAATTAGAGAGGTGCTTATGATTTAGGGCTCGTTTCATCTTATTCCAAGTCAAAATTTTACTCTTATAGTAACAAATTCTCTACCTTTTTAGGTTCTCCTACCATATGAAAGCATTCTTTTTCAACTTTCAGCCATCATCTTGATTATTACTCTATTTTTGAATGGTTTCTAATTTTCATTTAAGACGGAAATGGGGTAGCAATGATAGAGATAAATTTTTTTCTTTCCGCTATTGGGGAAGACCTTTAGAGGAGAAAATTAACTCAAGTGTTAATCATTTCACTTGTTATTTTAGATGGGCTTGGAGTGTCACGTGCAAGATACAAGAAAACACTTAAATTCAATTGGATCAAAACCTAACCTCAGTTAATAGAAGAATCTAATTTTATTCTTGATTTTGTTCAGGAATTGTTTGCACTGAGTAATTTATTTTAAAACTATATGGGTTTTATCAATAATTTAAAAACTGACATATTTTAATTTCTAGAAAAGAACAAACCCCTATAACCCAATTTTTTCTTCCAGGATAAAAAAAAATTAAATTTTCTTTTTATTTTAAAGGTCAGGATATTTCGAGCATACTCTCTTGTATTAAAACTAATTCTCTAGTGACGAATCTTAGATAAAACATGTGAAGATAAACCAACAAAGTCCAGTTTGGCCCGGCCCTCTTACAGGAGCACCAAAGAGTATCCGAATCTGATTTGGTGAAGCCAAAAGAGAATCGTAATCCGATTTTGTTATGAACTTATTTTCTCTCATATTTCATGCTTTAAAGAAACAAAATCGAATATATTATGTTTTTAGCATATTTATTATACTACTGATAGATTTTAGATATCTTTTAGATTGTGCATATTTTTGTGCCACATCTGTCTTATAAAAAATGCCCACCTAGCCAGTTAGCGTCCATTGAGTTTGAACGTTCAATCTCAATCTTTCTCTCCCTCTCTTTCCTTTCGTTTTCTTTTGTTTTCTGAACATCCTCTCCCCCTCTCTTTCTTTATAGTAAACGAGAGATTGAACTATTAAGAAAAACATGGAAGGTCCATCAGATCATAAGAATATTATCACAGAGCCACTCTTGAACCGCAACCCAAAGGGTGGCTTTAGAACTTTACCTTTCATCTTGGGTAAGTACACATACACAAGGACATGCATGTTATAACTTCGTTAAGTGTTATCACGATCATCCTTTCAAGAATCATATATGAGGTGATGATACTACATTTTATTTTTTTTTAAATTTTGTGACAGCAAATGAGGCGTTTGAGGGGCTAGCAAGTTATGGGCTATTGACAAATGTGATATTGTATTTGAATAGAGAATATTGCATGGATGCTGCTCAAGGCGCTCAAGTACTGTTCCTTTTCTCTTCTGCTACGAATTTCATGCCGATTCTTGGAGCTTTCCTTGCTGATTCTTACGTGGGGAGGTATCGGATGATTGGTTTTGGATGTATTGCTAGCATTCTGGTAACTAATATTCCTTTCCCTGACCTTCTCCACTGATTCTCTAAGTTTTTTTTTGTTTTTTTTTTCTCAAGACCACATGATATATTTGATATAACAATAAAATAAATATATATGACTTCCATTGACCTTTTTGTGTGCGTATCTGTGTGACAATTGAAGATGTTTGTATTTAGGTAGGTTATACTTTCAAGTTTCTTTTATTCCGACACATTAATTTTAAAGGTGAAAATAAATTATGTTTTTTTTTCCCCTTCTTTATAATCACCGGGCCATCATCCAATTGCCAAAAGCATTCTATACAAGTAGTTTATGTAGATCAAAATGGTTTATTGATATTTGTCCGGAGCTTGAAGAAACGAGGTTCTATTGGAGAAAGCCACAATATGACTTACTTGCCATATATCTGAGTAACTAGAAGATTTCTATAGTAGTGAAGAGGTGGTAGTTCAAGCTCTTCTCTGTAAAATTATTAAATTGGTAGAATAAAATAAATACAAATAAATTAGAAATAATTTAAAATTTGGTACTTTTCATGGTACAGGGGACGTTTCTATTGTGGTTAACAACACTTCTAGAAGCAAAACAACCTCCTTGTGCCCATTTCAGTGACAATGGCAATTCCAGAACTGCATCACAGCTTTTGCTTTTATATACAGCTTTTGCCTTCATGGCTATTGGAGCTGGTGGCATAAGATCATCTTCCTTGGCCTTTGGTGCTGATCAATTGAACATGATAGACAATATTAAACATAGTAGAATAAGAGAGAGCTTCTTCAGCTGGTATTATGTTACAGTCACGGCTTCAATATTTTTTGGTATGACTTGTGTTGTCTACATTCAAGATACCATGGGGTGGACGGTGGGTTTCGGAGTTACTGTGGTGCTCATGATTTTGTCAGCTCTTTCATTCTTCTTGGCTTCTCCCTTTTATGTCAAGTCAAAGCCTAGGGCAAGCTGGATCACTGCGTTGGTTCAAGTTGTTGTTGCTTCTTTTAGAAATAGAAGTCTCAAATTATCAACCCAAGCCACAGTTGAGATGCGCTATCATACAAAGGGATCAATGCTTCTTGTGCCAAGTGAAAGATTGAGGTATCATCACTATATAAATATTAGACTTCGTGTCCTGAATTCTATATCCTGCTAGAAGTTTTAGCTGAACAGAATACAAACTGTACATTTAATTATATTGATGCATGTAAAGTAACCAAGGTGAAGCACCTTTTGGACTTAAGATTTGGAAGCTTCTGTTTTGCTTGCGAACACTTGTGTAGTTTTGTTCTTTATCGGGTTCGCTATATTTGACATAATTGCTAAAGCCATTTGCTTTACCCTGTCTTAGGTTTTTCAACAAAGCTTGCATTATTAGAAAGCCTCAAGAAGACTTGACCAAGGATGGAAAAGCTTTGGATCCATGGAGTCTTTGCACAGTAGATCAAGTAGAAGATCTGAAAGCACTGATCAAGGTAATCCCAATATGGTCATCAGGAATGTTGATGTCTGTGAATTTATGCCAAAGCTCTTTTATAGTGCTCCAGGCATCCACCATGGACCGGCACATCACTTCAAAATTCGAAATTCCTGCTGCCACCTTCAGTTCAATTATGTTTCTCGTTATTACAATCTGGATTGCTCTGTATGACCGCGTAATTATCCCCCTAGCATCCAAAATCAAGGGGAAACCAGTTCGTCTCAGCATGAAACAAAGAATTGGAATTGGAATTCTATTTTCCACAGCTTCCATGGCAGCATTAGCGATTGCTGAGACTGTTCGGCGGGAAACTGCAATCAAGGAAGGATTTTCAGACAATCCTAATGCCGGATTACACATTTCTGCAATGTGGTTATTGCCATATCTTGTCCTGAGTGGATTAGCTGAGGCTTTCACTGGTATCGGACAGAATGAATTCTATTACGTAGAGTTACCTAAAAGCATGTCCAGCGTAGCCTCCACTCTTAATGGGATAGGATTGTCTACTGCGAACTTGTTATCCAGTTTTATAGTTAGTGCTGTTCGCGGTTTTACGCGCGTAGAAGATCAGGGGAGTTGGGTTTCAAGCAACATCAACAAGGGGCATTATGATTATTATTATTGGCTTCTTGCAAGTTTGAGCGCCGTTAACTTTATATATTATCTCGTGTGCAGCAGATTTTATGGTCCTTGCGAGGAAGAAGAAGGGAGGATTGTGGCTGATGAAGGGTTTGGCCAATGATTGTTACTAGTCACAGTTCAAGAAATTCTTAATTAGAACTTAGCATGATCTCTGTATTTATATTTACGTCATAGTCACGTTATTAATAATATTAAGGAAATTGAGTGTTAGGAAGGATGAATAGAACTTGAAAAGATATATAATACGTACCATCGGTTTTTCATGTACTAGTTTCTTTATAAATGTTAGTTTTAATAAATCACGAAATTTTCAAACACTTAATCTATCAATGCAATGGCCAATTTGATGTAGGTTGATTGGCATCAGGGTTATACAAAGGAGAAATAAGTCAAGTCTCATTGGGTGATTATGATTTGGGAAAGCTGCAAACAAATATCCCCTAGTCATGTTTTAAGCAGGAGCTCCCTTATCCTACCAACATAAAGATCAAGAAGCGATATCATGCCAATTTATATAGATTTAATTTACTTTCATTCTTATGAATGATATAATAGGAATCAATCAGCAACGACAAAAGATCGCGTGATTTCTTAAAAAATTAAGAAACTAGATAGGATTATGAAAATGATTCCATCTTAAGATAAAAAGTAAGAAACTAGATAGGAATATGAAAGTCAAGACTAAAAGAGAGCATAATGGCTAAATTATTTGAAGATTTAAATGAAATTAGTAATAGGCTTAATTGAACCTCCGGATAAGGAGGAAAATTTTATACCAATGTAAAGGTGGACCTACCATCTCATACTCAAGAGGGATTTAATGTATGATAAATGTTCACTTTCGCAAATGCAATAGGAATGACAAGGGAGGAGGCTTCTTGACTTGCATTCATTGCACATCGAATGTAGGTCAATGATAATAATATCCACAACCTATCTAGTTCCTAGGTCGGGTGTGTTACAAAAGGTCATCCATGCTAACCTTGAAGATGATCACTTACATTGACTTATAATTCGAGGAGGTCACTTATATTGTTCTATAATTCAAAGAATGTAACTCGCATTGAGCTCGAGAATGATCATCTTTGTTGACCTATGATTCAAGAGGTCGTATGGACCTCAAGGATAATTATCGACATTAACTTCGGAGATGGTTACTCGTATTAATCTCGGGAATAGTCATCTACATTGACTTATAATTCGAGGAAGCTCAACATCAATTTATCTATGATTTGGAAAATGTCACTTGCATTGATCTCAAAAATAGTCACCTATATGACCTATGATTCGATAAAGGTTACCCACATTTGACCTATAATTTAGAGAAAGTCACCCAATATCAATTATCTTTGCTGGAAAATCCAGATGAAACCCTTTTTACATGGCTAATAATTGCTTGGCTTTCTTGATGGCACCAAATAGTGCCTTTCCTCTCATCGGATAATAAAAGACAACCTTTGACCCATGCCAAACGCTACCCACCTTGCTCGGATTCAACAAGATCGGATGTTAATAAGCCCACCGATCTCTTCCTTCTCAACGAAGTGCTTCACCTAATTATTTATTATACCACATCGAGAGATATATGGCAAGTTTTGGAATGTTCAATAACCTTTCACTAGAATAGTCGAATCATGCGAGCTTCACTGGTCCTTAAGGAGTTGTGCCAAAATGATGATTCTGTCTCAACTTATTTATAACATGGAAAGTCATATAGCGATGAACTTTCAACAGCAAGTAGACCCTTGCCTCTCAATGATTTTAATCTTTACCTATTCAAAGTCTTACGTGGTGAGTTTCGGGACATAGTTACTACTCTAGTTACTAGACCGAAATGGTTCCATAAATTGAGCTTTATATTTTATTGATGAGCCATAAATTTCTTCATAGAGATTCTTTCACTCTCTATTTGGATATACTCCTAGTGCCCTTGAACTCGCGACTCCTTCTACTAATTATTCAAATTGGCAAGTTGCTCATAATGAGAATACTTCCTAGAATAATAACAATCGAACTAATAGAGGTAGATTTTGGGGTAGAAATAGAGGGCAAAACTCTTGAAATAATAGAACTTGGCAGCTATTAATAATAATAATCGGTGAAATAATGGTGGTAACAATGAAATCATTGGATTAATTCCTCAAGTAGGTCCGTTCATTATCCTCCTCATCTCTTATTCGGTGGTTTCCGGTATTGTTGCTACATATTACATTACTAAAGATATGGTTACAATGACTTATACTAATCCCTAATATGGATATGATCAGTTGTATGTTGGAGCTGGTAAGGGCTTGCCTTTCTTATACCGGTAATTCTACTATACATACATACACCTAAACGCTCTTTACATCCGCCTAATATTTTGTTAGTGCCTCATATAAACCAACCATTACTTTATATACAACAATTTGCCAAAGGAAATCATATTTTCTTTCAATTTCTCCTTTTTTATTAATTAATTTTTATGTTTGATAGAATTACAGAGTTATAGAGTTATAGAGTTGCAGAGTTATGAATTAGGTTGAGATTGCATTGCATTATATGTGTGATACAGTAAGCTCTTTTATACAAGAGTGTATGAGATATGATAGATAGTTATACGGATAGAGTTATATCTAATTATGAACTCTATACTAAGTCTTATCCTTATCACTCTCCCTCAAGTTGATGGGAGGGAGAAGGACTCGTCAACTTGTCTCCGAAATGTTGAAACATCTTTCTTGATGCGGATTTTGTGAGAACATCAATAATTTGGTCATTGGTAGAGATGTAAGAAACCCGGAGTTCCTTGTTTGCTACTTTGTCCCGCATGAAATGGAAATCTATTTCTAAATGTTTGGAGCAAGAATGAAATATTGGATTGGCAAGTGAGGTAGGTGGCACCGACATTGTCACACCATATAATTGGAGTGTGTGATAAGGTGAACCCAAGTTCCCGAAGTAGCGAACGAGCCAAAGAACTTCGGAGGTAGTAGTGGCAAGGGCTCGATATTCTACTTCTATGAAGATTTTGCCACTCGTACGTTATTTCTTAGAGCACCAAGATACGAGGTTGGAGCCCATATAAATGGCAAATCCTGTTGTGGATTTTCTATCATCTAAGCGACCTCTCCAATTTGCATTACTATAAGTAGAGATGGTGCGGTTTGGGTTTCTGGAGAGGGTAAGTTTGTTTGTAGTCGTTTGTTGTAGGTAACGAAGAATTCATTTCACGACCTTCCAATGGTCATCGATTGGAGTATGCATATACTAAGACACACGATTGACGTAAAAGAAAATGTCTAGCCATGTGATGCACGAGTACCGTAGGGCACCCACAATGCTTCAATAGAGGTATGGATCCGAGAATTTAGATCCTATTACTTGTAGCTTGGTTGAGGAGCAAGATGGGGTGGAGATTGGATTGGACCGATCCCGTAAAGTCCCCTTCCCGACCTATTTGCCAATTACCCAAAAAGAGTGGCTAGGCGAGGAGCACGTCACGCTAAAACGTCAAACCCGACTTATATCCGACTACGTGCATACCGGTACCATAACAACATACTATATATTGAAATATGTCTAATACAAAAGTACATTACAAGAATATTCACAGCGAAAGAAATTACAATCAAAATAAAATCCCTTAAGGTTTGTGTCACCCATGCGCCCTTTTGGAGGATCCGACAGCGTTTTTATTGGTATTACGATCATCGCTACCTGTCATAGCATGCAAATAATAATGAGGTGAGCCGAAACTCAATATGTGGGGTGATGCATGTGATATGCAATGCTTTTTTGACTTTCCATCATACTCATCAATTTTTAATTCTAGGTACCTTAGATATTAGCAAGTTTACTCTATTTTTAATCCAAGTGATTATCGAATCACCTTCCGTTACAACGAAATTATCCCTCGTTGTAGCCACTATTAGTGAGAGTCCATCGTCTAACATGTAGGCACATAGCTTAGAATATGCACATAGTTGAACTGCTAATACCCATTTATTCCCGTTAGGTTACCAAACCTAATCATATAAGCCAATTCTCAATCAATTGACCTTTCTCCATCTACCTCACAATGCACATGATGCATATGATATTATGTGTACCATATTAAACATATCTAACCCATACGAGATTTCACTTTATATATTTTCATAGGTCCAAACCACACTCGGGTTTTGGGTATACTCATACCCCTTATCATCATGAAATATTTTAATTTTATATCTATTTGAGCTTTATTGACCATTAATTACATTATTTTGGTGAAAGGAATGGAAACCAAGCAAATATGAAGTAAAAGTGGTGAATTTCGAGTGATCAATGAATTGCACGGGCTAAGACACTCCCGTGTAGAAGACTATGTAACTATCCGACTAAAGAAAAACACCTTTCTTCATTACACGGGCAAAGACACGCCCATGTAAGAGGTCGTGTAACTCTCCGACTTCAAGAAAAATACATTTCTTTATTATACGAGAAACGACACACCCATGTGGAAGGCTGTGTAACTCTCTAACTTTAAGAAAAATATATTTCTTTATTACACTCGGAAAAGACACACTCTTGTGGGAGGTCGTGTAACTCGTCCGACTAAAGAAAAACACCTTTCTTCATTACACGGGCAAGGACACGCCCGTATGAGAGGCCGTGTAACTTTTTAACTTCAAGAAAATATATTTCTTCATTACATGGGAAAGAACACGTCCGTGTGGAAGGCCGTGTAACTCTCCGTCCCGAAAGTTTACTAAAAAAGAACCCTAAAATTTCATTTTTTCTTCCTTCCTTCTCCATTTTATTCAAGTCTATACAAGTCTCAAATTCACCCACTATGTTTTGGTCAGCCCAATTCCATCATTCACATCCCCCCAAACATGAATTTAATCATATACAAGGCTTTTTAAGTTTTAGAAAGCAACCAACACAATCAATCAATACAACCAACCATACCAATAAGAATTGCAAGGTAAATCACTCAACACAACCAATCACAATAATATATCACCAACTAAACACAATTTTAGTCAATTGCATAAAGATTAAATAAATAGTATAAACAAGAAAAAGGTAACCCACTTATTTAGCTTAGGTATGGTTAGAATTTCCTTGGCTTTG